AACCCCTGACCCTGCATCCTTTAGGTCACGGGTTGTCAACTGGGGCTATGCGTACCCTCAGGGGTACTTGGGAAGGCCCTAGGGGGTATGCACAAACAGTCAGGGATGGAGCACCACCACCCATCACCCCGCACTGCCACCTCCCAGGAGCAGGGACAGGGGGGCAAGGGCAGCAGTGCCCCTCTGCAGGCTGCACAGGCACCACCTGGCTGGCTGGATGCAGGGGGGTGAGGAGGCCCATATGTAGCGGCCACTGCCACCACCACCCACCACTCTGCGCTGCTATTTCCCTCCCTCCCCCCACCAAGATTGAAAACCCCTGCTCTAGATATCTACATGCCTTTGAAATTTTGGCATCAAGGTCACTTCTAAAAATAAGATTTAGTCTTTTGGAATCATATGAGACCCCTTGACAATAATTACTAGTGGAATAATTTTCCAAATTACCCAGCAACAGTAAGAAAAATTAATATACTGGCTAATGGATTGACTTTTATTAGTAAATGTTTAGGATTGTGAATCCAAAAAAGATGACAGAGCCAGTAGGGAAACACATATCGCCTGAGTGAGGGACTAACATTAGAGGGATGAGGGTGAGGAGGGGAACCCAACTAGGTTACAGGAAATACAATGTGAGCCAACTAAGCCCGGGGGAAGGGGGAAGGGGAGGAAGGGAGTTTGCAATGCTGAGAGAGAAAGAAGATAGATACACACAATCTCATTACAGTGGTCCTCAATGGTGGAGGAAGTGGTTCGAAGAAAGTGTCTCAGTCCATATAGAGTCTCATCGCAGGGGTCCTCTTCGTCCGTTGCTGAAGAATCCTCTCAAAGTGAAGTCTATCTGATGCAGAAGGGGGGTTCAGGCGGTCCCCTCTGGGTCTAGTCCAGCGGCGGTTCGTCTGGTGGGGTCGGAGTACTGGCGGTGGCCCGTGATGTGTTCCACATAGATGTTATGGGACCAACGGATGGTGTTGGACACCATGAAGCAGTGCATCATCTTACATAGCGGCGGGAGACACGGCAGGCATGCAGGACGCTCATTGCTGGGGTCCCAGGCTCCAAGCGTTCCCATGATGAGCGCATCGATCATCACGTCATAGCCACGGCCCCTCGGGACGTCGGCCAGCAGGGTGTACTTCTCCCATTTGCAAGCCCGGGCGTCGGTGAAGGCTTGGTGCCAGTTCTCAAAGGGGATGGTTACATCCATGATCACAACCTTCTTGGCCTCTTCATTCATGATGACAATGTCAGGTCGCATCTGGCTCTCGCAGCCCAGGATGGTGCGGTTCACGGAGATCTCCCCCGCTGCAGCCGGGATGGCCCTCACCAGGTGGTCCTGGACAGTGTTGTGGCAGAGCTGCCAGCCTCTTGTCCCAGTGGCCAAAGCGGATGGCCCAGTTCAGAGGCAGGCAGTTGAGGCAGGCATGGTGGAGGAAGCACCAGTCGTGAAGTTCATGAAGCTCCCACTGGGCATGAAGTGGTTGCTGGAGTCCTACTTTGAGGTGACGTTGAAGACCTTGCCCTGGTCGGGTTTGGCCCTCAGGTCGCTGGCGTACTAGTTTCGGACGGTGTCCTTCAGGACCTCTCCAGGAAGGTCCTTGTGCGGGGCATCATGGTGACACGGTCAGCATGCAGAGCTGGTTGCAGGGAGACTCCCAGCTCCCGGCGCTCCTCGGTCCAGGTCCAGGTGCAGCCAATGCGTTTCCCGAGGCGGCATGTGGCATTGTGGACTCAGCTCTACCATGAGGCAAAGTCCCCACCATCTCTGCTGAACTTGCCCTCCAGCGAGCCGCTGAGGAAGGTGGCCAAGTCATGTCCGGTCGGCTGTCTCGTGATCCTCTTGCGGGTGGTCTCCTCGAGGGCGCTGGCAGTAATGATACTTACCATGGCGTCTGAGCAGGTCAGAAGGTGGAAGGCGTGGGTGACCACCATGATGTCGCAGAGGTCTCCCATGAGGGGGATGTTGGCACCTCCCTGCCAGTAGGGGATGTGCAGGCCCTCGTTGCTGGCCCTTAGCGGCAGGTGCAGCCACTTCTTGAGCAGCCGCCGGATCTTGGCATCCGCCTTCTGAGGGGGGTCTTGGGGACCGCCAAGCCTCTCAGGATGAACGCGATTTGGGGGATGAGGAAGGTGTTCACCACGTCTTATCTTCTGCCAGGGGGCCAGCAGGGACGAGTCCAGCTTGTGGGCATCCTACACGATCCCTTTGATGGTCTCTTCCGGCATCTGCTTGGCCCGGTGGCCAGTGGGTGTCCCCAGGCAGCAGTAGGCCTTTCCATTGTACAGGTGCCTCATCGCCTGGCCCTGGATTGTGAGGGTGGAGTCCAGGACGTGGCTCTTCTGCCTGCCATTGATGTGCAGAGAGGTGCACTTGGTGACGCTGAAGCGCAGGCCCATCCACCTGGCCGCCTCGGATGTCACATCCAGCATCTGCTTTAGCTGGGTGGTGTCGGGGGTGAGGAGAACGAGGTCATCGGCATAGGCCAGAACGCTCAACTTCTGGCTGTAAAAGTTGAGCCTGCCGGGACCGCCTGCCACGGCTCGAAGGACCGGTTCCATGGCTAGGTTGAAGATGATGGGGCTGAGGGGGCAGCCCTGTCTCACCCCCGACCGGATGGAGATCTCCGCGGTGTCTCTGTTGGTGGCACGGACGGTTGTGGTGCATCTGTGGTAGAGCTCTTGCACCAGGTCCATGACACCATCTGGTAGGCCCAGCTCTCAGAGGGTGCCGGAGCTGTGGCGGTGGGGCATGGAGCCGAAGGCATTGGAGGTGTCCAGCCACGCCACCACACACTGCTTCCTGGTCCTTCAGGCATTGTCTAGGGCCATCTGGAGGGTGAAATTATGCTTGTTGCAGCCCTCTGTTGACATGAAGCCCTTCTGGCTCCGACTGACAGCCCTGCCTGTCACTGCCCAGTCGGTGATGCGGGCCACCAGGCAGCTGGCGTATAGCTTGGTGATGGTGGAGCGCAGGGCGATGGGTCTCCAGTTGCCTGGATCGGTCAGGTCTCCCTTCTTGTTGTGCGGGCCGGGAGCGGTCCGAGGCTTTCGGGGGTGTGCGGCGGGCTGTGGCCGGGAGCCCGCAATGGTAGGGCAGGTACTTTTGCACGACCGACTAGAATTAGGCACCGATTCGTAGCGGTTAATTAAAGATTGTTTTACTTACACTGTAGGTGGTCGCGGTGCAGGCAGGAAAAACTTTCTTGAGTTGCAGTTACAGACAAACACAAGTGTAGTTTGCTAGGCTCCACCAAAGACACACGCACGGAGTTTGCTAGGCTCCACAAAAACAAACACGACAGAGCTCTGGATACCCTTGACGAGTGCACAAAACTGTAGATACGTCTTAAGAATTTAACGAACGAGATGGGAAGAGGTTGGTGGTTGAACAGGCCGCCAAACTCCTCTGAGACACACACAAAGTTTCTATTACTCTGCCGTGTGCTCAGAGTCCCCACGAGATGGTTGTGGAGTCCTCTATCAACTTGGGCGGAAACTGCTCAAACCTCTTATACGACTAGCAAGCCAATCGCTAGCCACCACGTGGGAATAATTTAGAAACAGCCAATAGTGGGAAACAAATTTACATACAGGTGACGGGAACTCCTTTGCACCGGGGTTTTCTCTCTGCAGCTGAGAATTGCACTGTGCAAAGAAAGCTCCATGTGGTGGGAAATAATTCTGCAGTGCCGAAGCGCACACACAATCATTGGGTCATGACACTTGTGAATGAGGACCATCATGGCCCTCTTCCAGACAGCGGGCATGCGCCGGAAATCTGTGCACCTGTTGAAAAGAATAGAAAGAACAAGGCAGCCTAGGTCATGTTTTTTGAGGAGACTGTACCTGATACCATCCCTGCCAGGGGCAGTGTCCCTGGTCCTCTTGAGGTGGGCTTCCACTTCCTGTGGCATCAATGCATCCTCAAACCCCTCCGCCGGGGGATGGGGGTCAGCGCTTCGACAGTTGCAGGGCGTGGGGCGTCAGATTCTGCTGGGGGATTGAAGACCCACCTTGGGATGGATAATGGATTGACTTTTATTAGTAGATGGTAAGGATCCTTGGGACGGATAATGGATACTACACTACTATATATCCATCCATTCCACTTGACCAAAATGTCCTCCTCAGTAGACTTCCCAAATATATACAGTATCCTGGCCTGATAGTCAATTGATTCAGGTTCTTTCAGTGTCCCCAAAGCAAGCTATACCTACAGGCCCCATTCATTCTTCATCCAGAGTCTGCTGAATTCACTCCTAGTCACAGAATTTCTCCCTGGAATCAGATTTCTCTGTTAGGTAATATTTTTATAGTCCTCATAGTCTTAGAAATACCCTTGGAAAATAAATCATTTGTAACCAATGCAGCGTCACTTTCCTGAGTCTGCTGGAAGCCTGAAACAATAGACAAATCAAGTGAATTGCTCCACTTATCTTGGTTGATGCCCTGTGGTACACGTTCAATATCTGGCAGCTTTTCAAGACACCTTGAGACACTATTTCTGTTTGCTGCTGCTGGACTCCTGAAAGTTTGTTCCCCCTCCCACCTGTACCCTGATAGGATTTACCTTCAGTTCCTTGAAGAGAAGTATTGTAGCCAAGGCCTTGTAAGCCAAAGGAAATGGATCAATGAAACTGGCTACAAAGTCTCCCTTCCCTTGCACAGCTAGAAAAAGTTGGCTGTGGGGTTGGATCAGGGTTGGGTGTATCTATCAGAATGGAAAAGAAAAAAATATTAAAAAAAAATATGTTGCTACCCTTTCTGACAGAAAAGGGGGGTTAAGGTCAAGATTGAATAAGAATTAATATCTAGAAATGACTGGAGACACTACTGCATGTCTAGCAGTGACAGGAGCATTGTCAGATTACTTGAAGTTAAATGCAGCAGTATACTGGCCTTTTGAGGATCTTGTCATGACATGTCAGTTAACAGAGGAAATGTATATGAAAACCAAAAATTAGAACTAAAATGGCTTTTTCTAAATTTGTATTTTTCAGACCCAAAACCCTTAGCTGTAAAGGCAAAGAAGTGGAGAATGTTTTCAACATCCGAACCCCTGAAGATGCCAACCGGGTTGTAAAACTGGCTACCAGCAAGAATGTCATTGTAGTGGGAGCCTCTTTCCTTGGTGAGCTTTCTTCTTTGGAAGAATATGCCAGGCATTTCATAGAGGGGCCTTTCAGCAGTATTTTCCCTTTGAAATTATCTTTACAGTTCCCCAGTTTCCTAGGTGACTAGCAGATTCTAGCTAGCTTTAAGGCAGGGGTGGGAAAAATACAGTCCATGACTGTATCACGGCTCTGCTCCACCCTCAGTGAGGGATGGGATTCAGGGAAGCAGCATCCAGGAGTGGACAGGTGGGACTGGGGCTGGGATCATAGGGCACTGACAGTATGGGGCCAGGCCCCCCCAATCCCAGCCCTGGTCCCCCTCCTCCACCCACCCATCCCACTCCTGAATGCTACTCCCCTGGATCCCAGCCCCAGTCCCATCCCGGCCAAGCACAGAGCAGAGCCATGATCTGCTGCCTGCACACTCCTGTGATGGGCACCAGTTCTAAGGGCAGGGACATGCGGGGAGTGGATCTCGGCTTTGCCCTGAGTCATGGCCCCACAATCCCAGGTTCTCCATGGAGACTGGCTGGGACCCATGTAGTCAGGACACATGGCTAGGTGGATGGGATGGGACTACTCGGAGAGTTTTTGTGAGCTATTGTGTGGGGAGGCTGCTGACCTGACCCGCAACAACACACCAGAACTCCCCATGTGGCCTGCAGGCCCAAATAATTGCCCACCCCTGCTTGAAGGGGAACCTGCCAGTGAAACTGGGCTACAGAGTCAGAGGGAGCCCACCCAAGCAGGCCTTGCTGGTAGTTGGGAGCACCCCTCACCATACACAGACTCAGATTGTTTTAGCACAGTTCTGAGAGCACACTTCCAGCTGGTTTGGCATGTGATATGACAATAGACAATTTTTGAAATAATAACAATATCTTAAGTATTATACTATTTGTGGCCTTGGAAAACACCCTAATCATACAGATGCCTACAGCTCAATACACCTTCTCCTACTTCTGTGGAAGCCTGTGACAAAAAGCTTTATTAGAGTTTCAGAATATAGACTGTGATGAGAGCCATGTGGCTGCCCAGGTAGTAGGAGTAACAGCGAGTCCTTAGTGGACACGTCTTCACATGCATTAATGTGTCTTTTCAAGTAGTTCATTTGCACGCTATTTTACTGATGCATAATATGTAATAAAATGCAAAAATCTAGAGCTCTTGGTTCAGAGATGATACCTTTATTAGACCAACTGAGAAATTGCAAAAAAAATCTTTTTCTGCAGGCTTTTGGGCTCTCTCGCCCTCCACCAGCCTCAGGGAAAGTTAATTGGTGAAGACCTACACGTCACCTATGGTGCAGATCAAGCAGGATTCCTTCCCTGTTGGTGTCAGATGGCAAGCAGGGAAGTGTAGAAATCTTTCTTATTGTTCAGCAATGAAGTTTATAATCCAAAAATTGGCTAAATTTCAGCATCTTCCATGTTTCAGGGATGTATTTGGCAGCCATGTTGGTCTGAGACAAAAAATGCAAAAATCTAGAACTCTTGGTTCAGAGATGATACCTTTTATTAGACCAGGAGTTTTCAACCCGGGGTACGCGTACCCCGGGGATACTTGGGAAGACCTCAGGAGGTACTCGGCAGCAGGTGCCAACACTTCCACTGCCGCTGTGCCTCCAGCACTTCCACTGAAAGTAGTCCCCCAGTAGTCAGCCACTGGGGGACCACCCCGTTTGTCAGTCAGCCGCTGGGGGACTCCTTCTCAACTGGCCACTGGGGGTACACTGACCCAAAAAGGATGAAAACCCCAGTATTGGACCAACTGAGAATTTGCAAAAAAAATACCTTTTTCTGCAAGCTTTCAGGCTCACACGCCTTTCATCAGGCTCAGGAAAAGGTAAAGATGGTAGACTTTTAAAAAGTAGACTTTTACTACATATTAGCATACTGTCACAGGTTTTTATGTGATGCTTTAATGCACAGTAAAATAGTCTACATGTGTAGACATGCCCACTAACATTTAGTGTTAAATACTCTTTTCCAGCTTTTATACTTCTGTCTCAGGGTCCTAGGGATTGCAAAAGCTACAGTAAACTTGAAGTTCAGGGCAGGTCTATACATAGAAGTTGTACCAGTTCATTTACAATAGTTTAATGCAACTGTGCATGTGGATTATTGTACATGCTTAAAATGGTAAATTTAGCTTGCACCTGTAAAATGTATTGACACAGCAGCAATAAACTCTGGCACATATCACACCAGAATGTATTACTCCCAGGCACTGCAGTTGAACATGTGCCCAGGACTGCAGCACACTGAGCCAGATCGAAGCAGCTGTGGCTGGCTGGAGGCCTGGGAAGGTGGGGAGGGATCAGCCTGCCAGTCCTGGGTAGCTTCAACCTGACTCAACATGCTGTGGAGGGGCTGGCTAGGGCACAAGTGCTTCAGTGTGGGGCTAACAGTCAGGCAGACCCCACACTGAAGCACCCTGATGCCCCAGTCAGCCTCATCAGTCATCAGTGTCTACAAGTGCTTTGCTGGGGAGTAAAAAAAAATCCTGCTGCAGGATAGTACTTGTATTTACAAGTACTGTCCTCTACGGCAGAGTTAACTAGTTTAGTCTGTCCTAATAGCATAGATGCTCAGGTGCTTACTGACAAGCTAATTGGGCAACTCCACAGTAAATGTCTCGTATAGATGTGCCCATACTAAGTGAAAATAAGCCAGATTTGAACTGATGTACAGTGTCCGCACACAAAGTTGTGCTGATATAAATAGATCAATTAAAAATATATACTTTGTACCAGGTAAACTTTTAGGGTGGCATTCTACTAGGTCCCTGGTAAATGTTAATATGTTGGTGCAATTAAGATCTGAGGTATTTTTGGCTTTATTCCAAAAATCACATGTCCTGCCATGCTAGACATCATGGCAGGATGCATAATTATTGGGATGAGGCATAATGTTTAATCATTAGCTGGCAGCAAATGGGAAGTTTGGGCAGTGGCTATGGGGATGATGTGGAGGCCACAGGTGTGGAAAGTACTCTGCAGAAGAAAAGGCAAAGGTCTAGTTAAAGGGAGAGAAAGACAGAAAGTGGTCCAACCACAGCCAGGGACCTGGTGGGCCAGAGCATCAGGACAGAAGGCCCGGTGCACAAGGGGGCAGGGCCAGAGGGCCCAGTGCACCAGAGGTTGAAGTAATATCTGTGAGGCATGGGCATGGCTATGGGGTTGACAGAAGGCCATGATTATAGCCCTTAAGGAAATTGGGACCTTAGGGGCACAACCAGAGTTGATAGGGCCCAGTGGGAGAGCTGGTGCCCAGAGGGGTGGAACCCTGGAAAGGGAGACCCTGCAGTGGGGTAGGAGCCCTGAGTCAAGTGGGCTAGTTTGGGCCAAGACCAAATAGAAGAGGAGAAGGTCAGGAAGGCCAACCACACCTTGTCATGCATCTACAGATGCATCTCGAGCAGGTCCAAGGAGGTGATCCCCCCCCTCTATGCAACGCTGGTCAGGCCACAGTTGGAGTACTGCGTCCAGTTCTGGGTGCCGCACTTCAGGAGGGATGTGGACAACTTGGAGCGGGTCCAGAGGAGGGCCACTCGCATGATCAGGGGCCAGCAGGGCAGGCCTCCGAGGAGAGGCTACGGGACCTGAACCTGTTTAGCCTCCACAAGAGAAGGCTGAGGGAGGGATCTAGTGCCCTGTTAGAAATTAGTCAGGGGGGACCAGCAGGCGTTGGGGGAGTCCCTGTTCCCCCGAGCACTACCAGGAGTGACTAGAAATAATGGTCACAAGCTGGCAGAGGGTAGATTCAGACTAGGCATCAGGAGGCGCTACTTCACAGTCAGGGCGACTAGGATCTGGAACCAACTTCCAAGCGAAGTGGTGCTGGCTCCTACCCTGGGGGTCTTTAAGAGGAGGTTAGACGAACACCTTGCCGGGGTCGTTTGACCCCAGTACTTTTTCCTGCCGTGGCAGGGGGTTGGACTTGATGATCTGCTCAGGTCCCTTCCAGCCCTACCTACTATGAAACTATGAAACTAAGTCCTACTCAGGCCAAAGAGTTGAGCCCAAAGAGCAGCCATTTTGCAATAGCAAGCCTCCTCTCTGCCACTGTTGTGATCTGTTTTAAGTTTGAAAGACCAAGCAGCCCTGTGCTGCTAAGCCATTGCTATTCTCCTTGGAGGTGTCAGTACCTAGGGTGGGGGGTGGGGCTTGCCACTCTCACTTCGACCCAGGATACAGTTTCAAGGGCATCCACTTCATCTGTTGCTTGCAGAGATTGCTGCTGCTCTGGATGGGTGGGGCTTGAAGCCCTGCTCTACCTGGCAGCACCCCGACTACGACTATATATCTTATGACCCCTAGGCTAGGGACAGGGATAGGGATGCCTAAGATAGGGACAGAAGTTACACATAAACCAGTTTAAGTGATCAGAAACTGGTTTAAACCTGTAACAGAATAGAAGTTCAGTGCACATAAACCAGTTTCAAAATGACCAAAACTGGATTTAAGTAAACCTGGTTGAATGTATCAGACTTAACTGATTTGGGTCAAATCGGTTTATGTAACTTCTGTCCCAGACACCTTCCTGATTTAAGTTAAATCAGAGTCCCCCAGCATCCAAGATACTTTGCAGCCCTGGGTGGGGCTGTGCTTTCTGCTCCAGAGAGCTGGGCTGGCCCCTCCCCTCTGCTCTCTAGCTGGAGCAGGGGTGGAGGCGTTTGTCACAGGCCAGCTGGGCACTGTGAGTGTATCAATTTAGTTGCAGGCTGACTGGGTGCTGCAACTGTATCAGCCTGTTTGTTTCGGGATCAAGGAGGCATAGTTGGAAGTGAAGCAAAGGCAAATTTATTATAGCTTACACAGACACACACAACAGTTAACAGAAAGATAAAATGCGATAAGCAGATAATGCAGTATTAAAGAGCTAATAGTAAATAATAACAATAGATAATAACAACAGATAGATCAATCTGTTGCAGGCCAAATGAGCACTGTGAGGGTATCAGCCACTAGGCTGTTTAAAACAGCAAACAGACAGACATGGGTTGGCAACTTATT